AAAAAAAAAAAATAAAAGATTTCAACAACAGAGCAAGACCTTGTCTCTAAGGAAGAAAGAAAGAAAAAGAATAAAATGATGCTAGATTTTGGGAGGCAGGAAAAAAAAAAGTTTAAAACGCCAATTTATCGCATCCTAGAACACAAGTGTGTCAAACATGGTTTGTGCATATGTACTAAAGTAAAAAGAAAAGCAAGACTCACCTCAAAGTTGTACTTCCTCATCCGGTTAAAGTGCCGGCAGTACAGATACAGCATGCCAATGCTGCTGCCCACTGCGATGTAGTCCCCGTTAGTGTCAAGGGCGGTGAGGTAGACCATCATAGAGCGGAAACCCTTCTGGATCTTTGTGGGAATGGCATTGAGAAGATAGTACAATGGGCAGAACTCTCTGAATGTAACAGGCTCTGATATGGATGCCATGGCCAAGCTTTCCACAGATGGTTATCAGACAGGAAAAGGAATGTTCATCATCCAGGGAAACCTGGGGGCTGCAGAACAAAGCATTACAATTCTTCCAAAGGCTAGTCATGCCAAAAAGAAGTAATGTTTTATAATGGGAACACGGAACTTTTAGGCAGGTAAAAATTATAGCTAGAGCTTAATTAAACAGTAAATAAGGTATCATTAAGATCACTTTTGAGCATTTTAATTCAAAATGCACCTCAATATATACTGACTCCTATAATTCATGTTACAGCAAATGTTACGGAAGAGTGGAAAGAATACATAAAGTGTTCTTACTCTCAAATAGCTTATGATCTACAGGGAGGAAGAATTTCACCATCATAAACAGACACATAATCCAAGCATATATTTGGGGGTATATTTCAAGAGATGAAAATGCTGAATTAAAAAAAAATGTATTGCCAAGTTGCCTTCCAGAATGGTCATATAGATTTATGCCTGAAACAAGTTTTCCCAAAGGATATCTAGAGGCCACTAAATCACAAAACCCAGACAAGTCAGGAAAACTGAATTTGGGGCCAGGTACCAAGAAGCCCACGGCAGGCACACAAGAATTCACGCTCTCTCCCTATTTTGGGGCCTCTGGGTTATTAACTCAGTACCAGGCTTGCCTGTCCCTCACTCCATATTCAGATGCAAGAAGTAGGCTGATGCCAACTCCCAGCAAACTATTGCAGGGAGAGGGAGTGTCTAGGGACAGACCAAGGAGGAAGTCTAGAGCCATTGACTGCCTCACTATCCTCTTCTGCTAGATTTAGGAAAAATAATTTAGATTCAAAAAACATTCCTGCTAAAACATTTTTGCTCCCCCTCCTTACCCATTTTTCACACAAGCACACATGCTTAAACCCACTGTACACCAGATCTCAGACCCAATGCCACTAAATTAACCCTCTTTTCCCTGAGCACAGGGGAGTGGTTAACAAT